CCGTGATCACACAGAGCTGAGACCAGAGGGAAACATCTGGTCCCTTCTAGAGAGAGGCCAGCAGTTCAAATATGGGACACTATAATCCAGACTGGGTCCAGATCCAAGGAGTCACAGCCAAAGAGGTGGCTGTCAGGAAGGCCTGCTCAAGTCCTGTGAGGGAAGAAGAAATCCTGGAGTAGAGCCCAGCCCCCAAGACGAGGCCACTGGCACTTACATTCTGTTGAACAGACGTGCATCAGGCTGGCTACTGGCTACGGGCTACATATATTCAGGTGTAGATTTAGAGGCTGCAACCCAGTCGCACACAGGCCAAGCGATCTATTTTCAGATCCAGCTCACTCTTGGGGAAGAGGCTCTAAATATACCCTCCAGTGACTGCAGGAGGCAGATTATCATTGCCGGCAGCTGAGTGGGGGGGTGGGGCAGACAGGGACGTCAAGAACCTCACCATTACCCTCAGCACAGCGCAAAGACCTCACCACTTTAGAGCTAAATTTACATAAGGGCAAGTGTCTGTTATATTTGACGGGGTCTTCATGTATAAGCGCCTGGCCATGGGCTCTGTATGGCAACAAAACCACTGTTTTGTCCCCTCGGAAGAGCCACTGAGCATATATAGATGCCACAGAGGAGGACGTAGGCTAAAACTGACCTTGTTCTGTTCTCAGGTATTCACATCAGAGGGACGTCTTGCAATTATATAAGCCATGGTATTAAAATTTCCCCTGTGCATAACACCTGATCATCTACAGCACGCTTTTATAGCTTATTTATAAGCAGGTATGAAATATTATTAAAAGCAGATCCAAGGGGGCTGCAGTCAGAAAGGATGTTGGATATTAGGACATGAGAATTTATCTTGCTGTAATGATTTTCTCTGTAACGGGGAAGGCCTTTTGAGTCAGTGTTCAGCCAAGACATAGTTCTCTTACTGCCAAAAGCCAAACACTGTATAACTAACTCTATTTCCAGGCAGCTAATCCCAAAAGGCCAGAAAGCACTTAGTTCCAGAAGGCATTGAGCGAGAGCTGCATTAACCGCCAGCATTCAGGTAACTCTGCCGAATAGCAAAAATGAATAGAAATAGCTAAAGGCAGACGGAGAGTTGATCAGGGGCCGGGGTGTGGCACAAAGAGCGTCTTAAAAGTCAATATTTAGCCACATCAGAGAGAGTTTGAGAAATCTCTGTACTTAGTGTATTAGAGTAGCCTCAGAAGGGAAACTAGGCCCAATTGAGCTGGTACCAACCATGGGACACAGAAGAGAATGAGTGGAGGAAGTCGGGATCTGAGACATTTACCCCCACAGTAGGGTTGCTCAAAGCATCCATACACCATCTACAGGAGACTCATCCAGGAGGCTGTTAAACCCAGAGACTTCTGGGCCCTGTCTGGACTCTCTGATTCAGAATCTTTGGAGCTAGAGAGGGTCTGGGCATGAGGGTCTTTAACAAGCTCCACAGGTGATACCCATAGGCAGTGAAATTTAAGAATCACAGCTTTACGGAATGGTATCTAGAGAAGGCCAAACCTTACCCGGGTATGCACGCCATGTTGCAGTGTAAGAGATTACTCATTGGCGCCTCCTGGTTACTCTGTAAAGCCAACATTAATGTCTTTTCATAGACCAAGCTCCTAAAGTCACGATTGGTACAAGTAGTGGAGTCAAGCTTAGGAAATTCTTTTGACTCTAAATATTGGGTTCTCTCTACCACCCTTCACCTTGAAGATGCAATCCTTTAACTGTCCAAACCTCTGTCCCCGGCAGGCAGGAGGCCGAGGCTCTGGTCAGATGAAGGTTCTGGAAAATGGGTTGAGGTCGGGGGTGAGGGAGGAGTGAGGGAGGAGTGAGGTGGTGTTTGCCTGCAGCTATAGGTTTTTGAAAGACTTAGTTGGGAGGAAGTCGGCCCGAGAGAGGAGAAATAGTTCAAAGCATTCGGGATACAGAGGGCTGGCTGAAGAGGAATACCCTGGCAGAAGGAGCCCCAGAGGATGCCCAGTTAGAGCTGGGCTACAGGAACTGCAGGACGGCGGGGGAGGGGCAGATCCAGAAGCAGTTCCCCGGTGCAAAGGCCCACGGGGAGAGGAAGGGTTTTCTGGCTGCCGGTGACGTCACCCTGGGCAGCTGTTAGCGTGAAGCGTTATTTCTGGAATTGCCCAAACATCAGTGACTCTTAAGGGGGAATTTCAGACACAGCAGCAGGCTGGGCACAGATATTTAAGGACTGGAGCCTTTGTGCCGCTCATCAAAGCCTCTGTCTGAGGCTGATGCTGCCCCCTCCCGCCTTGGCCCTGCACGGATGCGGTTGGTCCTGATCCTTCACAGGCTTCGGCCAAGCCTGCAAGGGCTCTGAAGTCCAAGGTGGAGAAGGCAGGGGCAGCAGAGAGGACTTCCCCTTGACATCCTAGCAGATGGAAACAGTTCCCAAGGACTTCACACCACCCAAAGCTAAAGCAGGAAGGGGGGAAATTCAGTTAATCCTATCAGCAGTTCCTGAACATCCCTTATTTCCCCAACTGTGTGAGGGGCAGGGATACACCCTTTCTACACTTCAGGGAAGGATCAGTCATGCCAAGTAATTTAAAAAAGCAATCACGATTAGGGCTAAAAATTCATCACCCCTTTTCCATTGGCAATTAGGCAGAGGACTGTTAAAACTCCCATTTATTGATCCCCCTGGTAGGCCAGGAGGGCAGTGGGAGTGAGGCGAAAGGGCACCTCCTGCCCTCCCTCCCCATCCGTCCTGCGGCCTCCCGACAGCCTAACCCTCCTAATGCATAGCTCCGATGGGACTCCGACCAGATACTCTTCATGGCCCCCCTCTGCCCATGGAGGTATCTACACTGGGTCCCCTTCCACTTCTCCAAACCTTCAGCCCTCCCCTTGACTGAGGCCCATGCTCGTCTCCAGAAAAGTGCACAGCGTGCACGTCCCCAAACACACCTGGCACACTCCTTCTCCTTTGTTCTCTGCTTTCGCTCAAGCTGCTTTATCCTTCTGGAACACCATCCGTCCCACTAATCATCCCCATTAGCTGAATCCTAGCTGGTCCTTCTCCGGGCACCTATATGTCACCTCTTCCTGATCCTCCCAGGGAGGTCTCTCTCTCTCTCTCTCTCTTTCTCTTTCTCATCTCCCCCTCTCCCTCTTCTCTGTGTGGCTGTCTGTATCTCCTTCTCTCTCCCTGCTCTTGAAACTCCCACCCCCACCTCCCAGCGCTGAGTACCTCCCTGTTGTGATCCACAACTAGCTTAGCCTTGTGACCTTTGGGTTTTCTCATCGTGAAGCATATCCACAGATGAGTATCATTGAACTTGCTGCTGCTAAAAACCCATCCTTCATGCCCTTTGAAATTCCTGCTCTTTTCTCAATGTCTACTGAGGGCTTGGCCTAATTGTGATGAGGCAGGGACCTCAGTTTCCTTGGGGGGTGGGGGGCAGTGAGACTCATCATCCCACCTCTGTGGATCAAAGTCTTTTCCTTTGGAAGCTTTCTGTGTCACATGCCCCCCATCCCTGCCCCCCAGCAAAAGTCGGGACCTTTGCTTCTATGCTCTGGTGGTACATCCACTCTCCCTTGCCAAGCACACATCCCAGTTATAATTAAACAATTGTACAACTCTTTGCTTAATACCGGTCTCCTTCCACAGACAGAAAGCTCCATGAGAGCAAGGCGCATATCTCTTTTATTCATCAATGAATCCTGGGGACATGGCTCATAGGCAATGAATCGTTGGTGAATGGATGACTGGCTTTTATCACACTCTGTGCTGGATGATAGCTTTGTGTGCATAGTGTGTGTTTTACCCATCCTTCACTGTCGAAGAATACAGGTGATATAGGACACTCTTTGTACTCCCCAACATTTCCATCATGCCTTGTTCCTAGCAGGTGCTCAAAAGGAAAAAAAAGAAACAAAAAAAAAACAAAAAGAAGTTGTTGAATCTAATCCTCTACTGGGAAAGTAATCCAAAGCAGTGATGGTAAGTCAGTAACATCACATTTGATTCAAAAGCAAAATTTAGTCCAATAAATCAACAAATGATTATTGAGCACCCAAAAGGCGTAGAATGTTTTGTCTGTCTCTCTGTGTGCCTGTCTGACGATGATAAGAGGGGTGTCTGTAGAGGGTCTGGTTTGAGTCCCAGCTTGGCCATTGGTACTGAGTGTCTGTATAACCTTGAACAGTCAGATTCCCTGAATGTCAGCTTCCAGTTTCTTCAGCCTTTAAAATGAGCACAAAATTCTTAGTTCACAGGAACACCATGAGGATTGAAGGCAGGGATGTATTTGAAATCCTTTTGTAAAATGTGAAGTGTGATAACATATATAATTATTACGAGTGCGTGATGCAAAGAAAAGGCAATGAAAGGAGACAGGGCTGTGAGTCCCAGTCACCCTGTAAGCAGTGAGGCGTGATCCACGAGGGGGGCGTGAGGTCCAAGCTCTCTAAGCCTGTCTGTCCTGACCCCCTGACAGTCCCTAAGCCTCCCAAGACACAGGTTCATCACCTTCTCAAATGGGCTCCAAGGCGCCTGGCATCCTGGGAGGAGCAGGCTTACTAATAAAGAGATTGTCTTAATAACGTGAAGTACCGGGTGCCATGGTAACGGGCATTACATGATCTGGAGAAGAGGAGCAGCCTTTGATAAGAATAGGGAGCCTGCAGATGGGAAAAGGGGGGTGGGGATGCACACGGGACGGGGGTGGAGGAAATGCAAACACGGACAGACGCACAGTAAGCACCAAAGGGAACGAACAAACAGTATTGGTGATGCCTGCCTCTCTGGGGAGCTTCTCCTGTCTGCACCCTGCCAGCAGCCGTGTATCTTGAGTATCTCCAGATTTTCTGCTGCTACTGCAGTTGAGGATTCCCCAGCGTACTTAACGTGGTAGCCCCCAGTGTTTTTTAAAGATAAAAGTACGTGCAAAAATTTGGGCAAAAGCAGGTTGTGAATTTACCAAAAAGCTAGAAACACGGGTTTTATTGGTACTCACCGATGAACGACTTCAGGGGGTATTCTTGTAATTCGGTTTGGCGTGGCCTCTTGCTTGACAATGTTCTCCATGAGTCCTACGGATGTGGAGAACCAGGGTCTGTACACCGTGACTGGAAGGTCAATGCCAATGCTGATTTCCATATCATCAAACTTCATTATTCTATTAAAATATTGTCTGTCCATCTGAGGACATGTCACACAGCCCAGGAGGCTGCCAGGGCAAGGAAAAGCTCATTAGATGGAGCAAGGAAGGGGACTCATGCCTGATGAGTCCTTGCATGCTCCAGATGCTGGATTGGGGGCTTTATCCACATTACCTTCTGCCAGGGAGTCTTACTATCTTGGGGACAGTAAGACTGACCCCCAGCCAGCTGTGAGATCTTTGGCTTTTTTTTAAGACAAGAACTTCTGTTCACAGACATTTTTATGATTCCGTTATTAAAAGAGCTTCCGCCTCCAGTGGTCCCTAAGTGTCTCCTCCATAACCTTCATTTCCTTTTTCTTCCCTCCCTGCTAAGTTCATCAGTTAAAAGTGAGGTCCTGAGACAATCATCATGGTGAAGAGAGCCTGTTTCCTTCTGGGCTTTAGCTCATCTTTTGGCTTGGGCTCCTTCTGTAAAATAGTAGTTGCCTCAAGAGCAAATTGAGTGGCTATTTTTGTATTTATTGACTACATAGATGTTTTTGCCATTGCCAGGACTAGTGGAGGTGGGTCTAACGAAGAGGAGGATTTATATTTGGAACTGAGAGAGTTCCCTACTACCAGGATGTGGGGTCCACTGGAATGTCATAGCATGGGTGGCTAAGAATATGACTTTTATGGGGATTTTTAAGGAAAACCAGACTCTTCTCTTCCTCTGTTCATGTAAGATCAACGTGATTGCCTGCAGGAAAAAGGAGGGACTTTCTATGATTCCTTTAAATATTTTATGTGAATTCAAAGGAGCTTTGGATTTTTTCAAAAATATTCTTTGGACCAGAATACGGCAAAATTCAAACAACAACTGGCTCTAGGTCATGGAATTTTGAGGTGATTTTTATTTTCTTCTGCAGAACTTTCAATATTGTATGAGTTCCCTATTAGATTTTCCTATTACCAATTACATTTACAATGAGAAAAATAATTAAAATATTTTAAAAATTTTAAACAAAATATTCTTTTTTCCTCTGAACTTGTTTTCTGCCATTGGTGCATCAGCAGTCACAGCCCCTTCCCTTATATATTTTATTTCATAAGGCACATAGTTGAGAGGAGCAAATCAAACAAACAGAAAAGCCTGGAATCCTTACCTCCCTGAAAAAGCCCTAAGGTTGGAGCCAAAAACGAAGGTTTCACGAGCATCCCCTTGGCGCAGCCGCTCAGGGCCCCCCACCTGAATCTCATCCCATTAATGAATCTGTCTCTTCAGCTATCCCTCCCCCTCCCCTCTCCTCCACCTCCTCCCACCCGTGATCATTTAGTTACCATCTGCTTTTCATGTCCCTCGAAAGTCACTGAAAAGATGAGCGATCAAAATTCTCGGACCATGAAAGCCCATCTGACTCCTCTTCTTTCCTGCTGATTTTCCATATACCTTCATAGAGTAACGTGTGTGCTCTGTGAAATCGGAAGACCTGGGTTCAAATCCTGACTCTGCTATTTATAGCACATTAGGAAACACACTTCACTTCTCTGTGCTTTCATGTTCTCATCTGTGAAATGTGAATGACGGTTGGGAATATGAGGGATATGTGAAAAGAGGAGAAAACATGTGAAAACACAGAGCATAGTAGGTACTCACTAAACGTTAGAAAATACCTGTTCTTATCTCCAGAGGACTGCTCAATTCTCCAACCAGCGCCTGGGGTTTATCAGCAGGACCACCAGAGTAGAACCTTCAGCAGTTTAACCCCAAGAGGTCAGGCTGACAATGGCAATTTCCACAAGTCACAACTGTTGACAGACACTCTGTGATTATCTGGACTTGGGATGGAACTCAGCAACAGCACGGCAGGCCAGGTATTGAGCCAGCTCTACCTGCCATGGAACATTAGAGCAGTTCTCTTTCCAAGGATTTGTATATTCCAGGAGACTCAGTAAACATGGTTTGATCATCTCCCATATTCTAGCCACTGTGCTGGCCTAGGGGACAGAAAGATGTATAGGAAAGGGCTCCTGCCCTTCTCAAGCTCATAATCTAGTGAATAATTTTGATGTGGAAATCTGTATTATGCTACACTTCCCTTTAGCCACCACTCTCTCTTCCCCTTCCCAAATGTGCTGTCTGAGCACCCTCCCCACCCCCCACCGCCATCAGTTTGCTCACCTTCCACTTGTTTCTCAGTCCACATAGTCTGGCCTCCAGGGCCACCACTCTAATAAGACTGCTCTTTCCAAGGTCTTCAAAAACCTCTTTGTTTCAGATTTGAATTAATATGTTTTAGATACTGTTTATTTGACAATGGGACAGCATTCAACACTACTGACTGTTCTCTTCCCTTCTTAAGCATGATCCTTTGGCCTCCTTGGCACAATCCTCTCCAGATCCAAATATTCACAGGCCCTCTAGACATCTATGCTTGGATGTCTCACAACCATCTCGCACCCACCATAACTTAACTAAACTCAGAATCTTGCCTCCAAATCTGCTTTTCATATAGAGTCTTCCATTCCCAGATGGCATCTCTAGCCACCGTGTTGCTCAAGCCAGAAATATAAGTCATCCATGAAACTACTTTCCCCCTTGCTCCTTTTACTTCATCCCCCACCCAATTCTGTCAGTTCTTCTCTTCATCTTTAATGTACCAAGCTTGATCTCCATCTTCTTTGGCCTAGACTACTACAAAAACCTCCTTTTCCCCCTGCTTCCACTGTTACCCTCTCCATTCCATTAGCCACACTATAGCTAGATTTTTTTTTAATGTGGATTCGATCATATTACTCCTATGATTAAAATCCTTTAATGATTTATAATTGAACTGAAAAGTAACGTCCTTTACCATAACTTGATCTTTAAGGTCCCCATGACCTGGACCCTGGCTACTTCTTTACCCTAAACTCATATACTCTTGAGCTCCATCTGTGTGTCATAGATGCCCAGCTGTCCTTTCAGTGCCTACAACATGGCACACCCTTTCCTGCCCCAGGGCCTTTAAACATGCTATCCTTGCTGCTTGGAAGGCTCTTATGCCAACTCTATCAGGCAACTCCAACCCATTTTCTAGGACCCAGTATAATTGTCACCTCCTCAGTAAGTCCTTTCCTAAAACTCCAATCTAAATTAGATCTCCCCACTATACTCCTTCATAAGCCTTTTTCTCACCAAATCTTATCAAAATTTTACATTTATTTATCCCATTATATATATGATATTTGTATCGCTAAGACTTCAACCAACATGAGTGCAGGCATTTTGTCTATGACCTTAATTGTCTTCCACTGAGGAAAGAGACCTGGTAAACAAACAGTCCTCCACAACCACAAAGGAAATTCATGCTGGCTTTAGAGATTAATAAACTTTCTCCTTCATTCAAAAAGATAGGAGTGGAATTCCAAAGACTACTAGGTATTTGAGAAAAATCAGCATCACAGAAGAATCTAGATGAAGAACCAAAACGCCCGAGAGAAAACAAAACAGAAGAGACCTTTTAAATGATTCTAATTCCCGTGCTCAGAAAGATTCAGGGAGATAGTACATGCATAAAACAAAAAGAGTTACTGTAAAAATAAAACATCCAGAGAGCAAGAGATTGGAAATGACAAACACAGTGGCCAAAGAGAAAAGGTCGATAGAGCAACTGGAAGGCAAATTCAAAAAGACCTCCAGACCATATAGATCATAAAGACAAAGAGACAGAAAATTTCAGACAAAAAGTTAAGAGACTTAAAGGATCAACCCAGTAGGTGGACCATCCATTTAATGAGCATTCCAGAAAGTGAGAATAGAGAAAATGACAAAACAAAGAAAGAATGACAAATGCCTGGAGCTTACAAAAAACACAGATTAGGCCCACCACTCATATATATATCCCAGTAAGAGCTTAGAAACGCCAAAGATAGGGCGCCTGGGTGGCTCAGTTGGTTAAGCGACTGCCTTCGGCTCAGGTCATGATCCCAGGCTCCTGGGATCGAGTCCCACATCGGGCTCCCTGCTCAGCAGGGAGTCTGCTTCTCCCTCTGACCCTACCCCCTCTCATGCTCTCTCTATCTAATTCTCTCTCTCAAATAAATAAATATAATATAATATATATAATATAATAAATAAATATAATATAATAAATAAAAAAAAGAAACGCCAAAGATACATAAAAACCTAAACATTTAAAGAAATAAAGCTGGTTATCTATAAAGCAATGTGTATAAGACTGTATGCTAAAGGTCAGGAATTTGACATCCTCTGCAACCTTTTTATAATGATCATTTGAAAGCACACTCCAGCCAAATAAAGAGAAATCTGAGAGAGAGGAGAGCATGGGGCTCAGAAAGAGTTAAAGTAACCCCGAAGTGAAAGGAATTAAAATCCTATTGTGACAGTTCTCTAGGATACCTAGAAAATAAGCAAGCACATTAGGAAAGGAGGACAGAGCCCTCTGAGAAGAATATCTTCAAGAGTCAAGGGCCCTTTCAAAATTCATGGCTCTGAAGGTAGTTACTATCAATACTTAATGGAATAAATGTTCACAGGATCACTGGCATGCATTGATTATGGAAAGGGAGCTGAGAAATGCTTTCACAGAAACAACAGAACACGACTAAGGGAGTGTGGATTTTGGAGTCAGGCCACCTGGGTTCAAGCCTTGCCTCTGTGACTTACCACCTTGTGAAATTGCTTAGTCTTGCTAAATCTCAGCCCCTTGTGCCTGAAATTGCAATGATGATTGGCCCTAGCTCATGGGGTTATTTTGGAGATGGACCAAGGTAACGTATACACAGTGCTTAGAATGCTGTGCTTAGCACTTCATACATGCTCCATAAAATGATAGCCATCGTTGTTTTATGGAGGTTGATCCTGAGGTGCAGGAAAACTAAGTGGTATATACAAACAAGAACATGAAGCTCAGATCCAGTTCCTTCCCCAGGAGGCCACGGGAATTTCATAGTTCTTCTATGATTTGGGTAACCTGGAACATTGATTCTGGGAGCATTCTCCTTTGAATGGGAAAGTCTTAACAAGACAGTGTTAAAAAGATAAACTGAGGTACGTTAAATTTTTTTTTAGAGAGAGAGAGAGC